CATCTCAATTGTAACCCCCAAGGGTGACCATGTGCCCATAGTCCAGTGCACTTCCCTCCCCCCACCATTTTTGATCCCATCCCCCACTCCACCCCCATAAAATGTGCAGAGGGATTATTTTTAAAATAGAAGCCTCATTATGTTGACAGCTGCTTAATATAGCTGCCACCCCCAGTCTCATCTCAGCCACTACCACCCTTCCCCATTCTCACTACAGTCCCATGATAGTACGTTACTTTTAGTTCCCTGCAAAAGCCAAACAATTTTGTGCCTCAGGACCTTTGCACGTGCTGCTTTTTCTACCTGAGATTTCATCCACTTTTTCACTCAGTCAAGTCATACTCATGATTCTCACCTCAGCTTGAATTCCACCTCCTTCACTCCCTTCAGAAGGACAGGCTTGGTTTATGACCCCAGACTAAATTTGGTCCTCCAGTTACTGGTTCTCTTGGCACGCTATTTCTCCTTAGCCTCATTATTGTGCATCTGCTTGAGGGGTGTGTTTGTTCACCTGTACTAGGCATCAGACACACCTGTGGTCAATCAGCATTTTCTGAATGCTTTTCCATGTCAGAGGAACTTGACCATAGGATGCTGGTCCCCACCAAGGTAGAAGTCAGAACTTGCTCTCCTAGCCCTGCAGTGCAGCTAGGAGACAGGGTCTTGTTCTGGTGAATCATAGGTTTGGATCAAAATGTCAGAGCCGAGAGGAAAAGAGATACTGCCAATGTGATGGTCATAGAATTTGACCTTTCAGGACAGCCGCGTGGTGTGTCCAGCATCTGTCCCAGAGCTACTGACACAAACAGCTGTGTCTGCAACCAAAACTGGTCAAGCAGGGAACTTGCCAGTGCTTCTCCAGTGTACAGTGGGCTCATCTGGAGACTTGTAAGCTCCCGAAGTATTTGAATAGGTTATGTTTTCATTCACTGCAGATGAAGTGGGTCTGTTGCCTGCACCATCATCCTTTGCTGTCTGACTCATTCTGCCTATGCACAATTTAACCCCTGTGAGTAGGAACATGCCTAAGTTTTATACAAACATTGGGGGAATAAAGCCTTTGCAGCTTTATTTCTAGGCTTCAGCAAGGTGCCTGCCACCTAAACAAGTACTTATCAAGTACAATAGAAGGGAAATGGTGTTTCTTATTTTTCTTTAGGAAGTTCTCCTTTTGGGACCTGAAGAGTTGCTGTCTGGAAGGAAGATGCTGCAGTGGATTATGGGAAATCCTGCTTTTATGTACCGCCCCCCCACCTCAAAACCAGACACCCAGGGGAACCCCTTTTGGATGAACCCTACACAGAGTAGGGATTGTTCCTGTCTTTGCAGCTCTCATTCTTACTCGCTTCTTCCTCTTCAAAACTTGGTCTGTTCAGGCTTGGGGAACCCCCATTACTCCCCCCACCTCCCTGGAATCTAAAATTCTCCTGCCTTCCATGCTGACTGGGGTAGAAGTCACTCCTCCACTAGCTCCCTAGGTGCTCCAAGCCAGGCCCAGGAGTCCTGTGTCTATCTCCAAAGTTAGGGCCTCATCCAGGGAACTAGTCAGGGTCAGGACCATCATCAGTTCTTGGCCTCAGTTATTGTGCCACCTGGTGACCAAGATGAGCATTGCGCTTCTCAAACTACCTCCCTGACTGCAACCTAGGTCCCTTCAGAGTGTCACCTAATGACTAGCTCTTTCCTGTCTCCTATGGGGGTGCTGAGCCCATGGGAGGGCAAAGGCTTCCAGTCAAGGGATCTTCCCAGGCACCCTCCCTGTAAGCCCAGTCCAGGAGTAGAAGTGACTGGAGAAGCAGGGGCTTAAGATGCCATTGCTCCACGCAGGGAGAGAACAGGAGTAAAATTCCAGCCACAGGTGGAGCCTCCAGGAAAAGGGTGGACCATTCAAAGTGGGCTGCTTCTGCCACTCCTACCACCATTAGCTCCCACTACGGACCACTAACACTAGCTTATGAACCGCTAACCCCAGCTGCAGTGAAAACCGTGAAAGGCCAGTCTTTACTCTCAGGCTGACAAAGACACTATTAGTGGTAGCAAAGCTGCAGAGAAGCCATCACACTTTCCGACATGTGCAGTGTCACACCGGGACCAGTTTTCCTGGGAGACAATTTGCCTGTACATATTAAAATAGGTACTCGTATGTGCTGGCTCAGAAATTCTAGGTCTAGGAGTTTCTTCTGTCATTTTTATCTTTTTGAGATGTACTTGAAGAATTGTATCCAAAAGTTGGTCTTTGCAACTACTTATCAAAAACATATCGGTAGGAATTTTTTTCCCCGACAGATTTGTGAAGTAATTATTGGTTAAATGAAGAGTATTAGATCAACTTTATACTTATGTAGCAGAAAAAAAAGCCCTGCGAGTGTTCTACATCAGCCACTCACTCACTCATTTTTAATAGCAACTTTATGGACATATAATTCACATGTCATAAATCTCACCCTCCAGCATGGCAGCAGCTCCATCCATCTTCAAGAGCACAGTCATCCCCTCCACCTGGCTCTGGAATCTCTCATCATCTCTAAAGGAAACTCCATAGCTGTCAGCGGTCACCGTCTCTTCCCCCCCCCCCCCCCCGTCTCCCTCTCGGTCCCTACTGTCTGCCTCCATTAACTTGTCTATTTGGACATTTCATATAAATGAGACCACCAACAGGTGGCCTTTGTGACTGGCTTCTTTCACTCAGCATAATGTCTCTAGAGATCATAGCTGTGAGAGTAGGTATCAGTTATTTCATTCCTTTTAATTATGAAATAATGTTCCCTTGTATGGATTGGCCTCATTTTGTTTGCCCGTTCACCAGCATGTGGACATTTGGGTTGTTTTCATCTCTTGGTGATTATAAATAATGCTTCTTTTATTATAAATTATAAGTAATATACAAGTTTTTGTATAGGCCTAGGATTTCAATATTCTTGGATCGATGTCCAGGTGTGATTTGCCTGGTCATGCAATAACTTAGAATTTAACTTTTTGAAAAATCACCCAAGTTTTTCCTACAGTAACTACTTCGTTTTCATTTCCAGGAGCAATGTATGAGAGTTCTAATTTTTTTACACCCTCACCAACACTTGTTGTATTTGTCCATTTTTTTCATTTGGATGAGTGTGAAATGGCATCTTCTGGTTCCAAATTACATTGCCTTAATGACTAATGTTATTAAGCATTTTTCTTGGGCTTCCTGGCCATTTTTATGTCAAGTATGTCAATTTTAAATATAAAGACTAGTTATAACTGTATAAGTATAGTAGGATCTCAATATGTTTAAAAATGCAAAAAAAAAAAAAAAACACCTTTCAGGAAACATACAAAAGTATCAATGATGATAGATAATGATATGGTTGATTTTTCCTTTTCTTTTTAATCCCTTTTATATCTGCCAACCCATGCCCTGTAATGGAGCATGGATTAATTCTGTGATCTGAGAGTAACAGAAGGAATGGCTTATAAAGTGTTAGACTGGGGCCATACCTAGACATTTGTCGGACCAGAAAGGTGCCAAGCAGCTGGGTATCATGACCAACACTGTAACCTTGGGTTTCATGTGGCTGTGTCTCCTTCCACTAAAACACCCCTGGCTGTAAAGGAAGTATGGCAAGGAAGGCTAGAGGACTTCCTGGAGGAAGGGAAATAAAAGTACATTCCATAGGGTAGATCTGCTGTAGGTAGACCATGAAGGGAAGGAATTTCCTCTGACATGCAGTGTTCATTTCTGCTTGCTCTTAGTACTGAAATTCTCCCATCCTCCACCACTATCTGTTAACTAAAGGCAGGTGAGAGAGGGCTGACTTATGGTGCTGTGTTATACCAGGGGCCTTCACTTGGGTGGGAGGACAGCAGGCAGCTACTTGCTGGGGCACATGGGGACACACAATGGAAAAGACAAACGAAAGACCTAAAGTTGAGGATTCTCCACCCTGGAGAAAAATAAGGCAAGGGACACAAGCAATTTTCAGAACAAACCCAAAAGGCTAACAGGCAGGAGAAGAGATGCTCACACTCATTAGTTATAGGAGAAATGCAAATTGAAACAACAATGAGATGTCACTTTACACCCATTTGACTTGCAAACCTTAAAAAGCTGGGTGATGCCAAATGTTGGCTGAGCTGCTGGTGGGAGTGTAGCTTTCACAGGCAGTCTGGAGCGCAATCTGTCACTACTTAGTCACGTTAGGGAAAGGCAGGATGAACGACCCAGATCTTCTACTCCAAGGTTTGTGTCTCAGAGCTTGGTTCATGAGAGGACAGGCATATAAATGCTCCCCTAGAGGGAGGGACACAGGACAGTTCACGCGTGGTTGATGGCACCAGGTGGCACCATACGGTAGTCAAAACAAGGAACCAGATGAACACATGACAACACAGGTGGATCTCTTCAAAGCATAGAGTTGAAGGGGAAAAATGTTAGAAGCGGCTTGAGACATATAACCAAAGGCATTTATGCAAATTAAAAGCATAAACACACAAAACAATACTTATTTTGCAGGCATACACAGAAACACAGATATGCTTATTAAAGACCTTGGAATGCTTGCCTGTGAAAGAAGGGAAATGGAAGTGGAGGTAAAGACAATGGAGAATAACTTATAAAATTAAATAAAACATGAGGATCCTTGCACAGTCAAATGATGGTGATATAAGAATGAGAAATGCACTTGTACTAGAGTCCAAATGAAGGCGGGAGCACCCTTCTCTGCAAAGGCAAGAGTGTACACTCCAATGTGTATCTAGTCATTTACAAACTTTTTGGCTCCTCTAGCTTGGGCTACGGGCGGGAAGGAGGAACATGAGAACAGAGTCAGAGAACTCAGGTCGTGAGAGGTGGACACAGGAGCCTAGGACAGTAGGCACAGGATGGGCAGGAAGAGGCTCCCCTGGCAGGGCTGGGCAGCAGCTTGGATAGAGGTGTAGCCTGAGGCTGCCTGGGGGTGCGGGACCCTCTCGATCTCCAGGGTGGTGGATGAGCGCACTGCCCATGTGTAGGTGTGGACTCCAGTCTAGCACACGGACGTTAGCACCTTCGTCCCTGAGTGGGAAGCCATGGTCCACTTGGCATGGTTCCTCCGGGCTGGCAGTAGCTCAGGGTCATGTCCGTGCCACCTCCGTGACATCTCCGTCCTCACCTCCAGGGACAAGGGAGAGGGTGTTAGGGTGGTCCCACGATCACCTTTCTGTTGGGTCCATGGAAGTAAGCATGCAGGGAAAGACTATGTAGGAGAGACAGGCACCTGGGCTCCTGGCTCAGGAGTAGCCGCCGCTGGCCACAGCCACCACCAAGTACAACTCTAGAGCATACTGCTTCCTCCTTCCTGTGATAGTGTCTAGCTATTGCGTTGGGCACCTTTTTCCACTTTTTGACATTGCTTTTGACAGGGCTCAATTAAAATATTTACGAGTGTTTTCTTGAGTCTCTGGCCAGATAATTACCCTGTCTTCCATGAAGGGCTTAGTTTGTTCTCTGCTTTGGGTTTCAGCCCCGACCCTGCCCTCTGAACACCCACAGAGCTGAAATGTGGTCACTGGGAACGTGTACAGAGGACAGAAATGGGAAGAAAACCAACAAGGGGATTAGCTGTATCCTCATATCTCCAAGGGACTGTTGAGGGCAGAGGGAGCTGAGAGGCTGTGACCTGCCTGACAAAACAGAACCTAGGCTGTGCTCAAAGACAATAGGAAGAGTTTTCTGTTCAACATAAAAGTGAGCATCCCACAGTTTCTGACACAGAAAGAACAATTGATAGGTAGTAAGTTCCTGTCACCAGAAGCTGACCCAACACTCCTTCCTGGGACATTTCTCTTTGCAATTCTCTGTGGATGTCCCTTTTCCAGGTCCCACCAGCCTCGGATTGGCACATTGGAGGGCTGAGCCTCACCCTTCCTGAGCCCCTGGGATCTATGAGCCATCACACTCAGCTACTATGATCCTGTGTCTGTACCCAGTCACCAGATAAGGCTGTGGACACTCACTGGGTGGCAACAAAAAGAGTTAAAGAGGAGGGAGCCAGTCAGAGACAGTGGAGGCAGGTGAGTGGGGAGCTTAGCTCTACTGAGAGGCTAGTCAGAGCCCAGGGCCGCCCCATGGCCAGCAGAGGGAGCCCGCAGCACTGCTCCTGGACACCATGGCTTGGACTTGGAGTCTGGGACACTGAGCTTTCATCTTTCCCCTTGAAGCAACTCTGTCCTGAGGGAAAATATAGGTACTTTCTGGCTGGCACACTAACTCATTCCTCGACGACATCTTTCCCTATTTCTACAAGTGCATCAATGCTATCTATTCAGGTGTGTGCCCGCCTCAGTCCTTTTGTCTGTCCCTCCTCCAGGTAGGCCCTCTGTGTTCCTGCCTCTGAATCCAACTCTGTTTTCCTAGTTCTTAGATATCTGTCTCTGACCTTCTTATTCCCCTGTCTCTTTTTTCTCTGTGTGTGTGTCTCCTCACCTCCTGGCTTTTTTTTCCCTCCCCACTCTTCCTCTTATTTAAGGTTAGAAAAACAGAATCGGGGGATCCCTTTAATCCTCTACTCCCTGCTGCAGGACAGTAAGCTTGGATCAGTCCAAAAGAGAGAGGGATAAAAGGTGTTTTTAGGTTCAACTTGATCCAGAAACTCAGAATAGACTAAGTTTAAAAAAAAAACAAAAAACAAGAATTAAAATCTGTCCTAAGTTGAGATTTCCATGGTCTGGACAGGGGAGAGGGGGCTCAAGATTACTGGGAGTTGGGGACTCCATGAGTAAAGAGAACCTGGAAAGTTACATACCTCTTGGTTGAGGAAGCAGTACAGGATGGCAACAACAAAACCCTATGGCGCCAAAGGATAAAATCACGTCAGAATCTTCGGTTCTGGCCTCAAGATGTCTATGCCTCCCTTTCCCTCACCACCCCAGCCTGTGGCTGAACCAGGCCTTTGAGAAAAAGTAGATGTATGCAGCAGGCATATTGCTCATATAATCATCGCACCCCATCTGCCAAGGCTGTGCTCTTGGTCCCATTTCTCTGATTTTCTTTATTTCTGCATTCCCCAATACTGGGCCATAGTAGATGCACAGTAAATGTTGAAAAAATATGATGGATGGGTGAATAGATGGGTACATGGGTAGATGGGTGCAGTTGAATGAATAGAGATTGACAGAAAAATGACTGTCAAATAGATGGATGAGTGACTAGTTGGAAGAATAATCAGCCTAGTTGCCCTCACCCTACCAAGGTAGCCAACCACTCCTGTGGGCACCTCCCTTTCTCCCTCCTTCCAAGGACAGCCTGTGGGGCTGTCACCTGGAAGGAGCCCAGTCCCAGCTCCAGGGGGAGGCGGATGCCCAAGCCGGCACTGTCAGGCAGGAAGTTGAAGATGATGTAGTGAATTCCAAACAGCGGGATGAGGAGAAGTGTTGACTTGGAGAGACGCCTGTAGGAGAGAACAAGCCAAGTTTCTCAAGGAGAGAATAAGAAACTCCCATGCTCCTCCTGCTCACTCTCACTGCCCACCAGCTCCCACAGCCTATCTACATGCTAGCCACTCTAGAAGATACTGTCATCGCCATTCTCACCCTTACTTCAGGCCCATGGGCCCGCTGTGCCTTGTGCCAAACACTCTTGTTCTGTTTACTCCAGCCAAAGTCTATGCACCTTTCAAAATCTAGTTCAAAGACTACTTCCTCTAGGAAGTCATCCCTGACCATTCCCATCCAGAAAGGATCTTCTCCACAGCTCCAGTAGAAATTGACCCCAGTGTTTATCAGCCTACTAGGCCTCGTAACCATCCGTCTGTCCCCCAGTGTGGTCCCCCCGAGGGCAGGGGCCAGATCTCTCTACTTGGGGAACACGGGAAGGAGCATGGGATCATCTCCCTCCACACAATACACACATACACTCACACACACATTACCAGTACTGAGACTGGGTGTGGAGGCTGCCCTGGGCTGGCTCCAGTTTCCTTAGCAGGATTCGGATAATATTGAGAAAAAGCCCAAAGTTCACCTGGAAATAGAGGTACAGGATGGCAGAAGGCAAGGGTCAGTGGTGGTCTGGTAGTTTGACCGGTCCTTTTTGAGGTCCCAGAACCCAAACCCTTGTGACAGAAGATTTTGCTGATAGGTGGGTACTTAGATCCTTGCTCTAGAACTTGTGGCCTGGAAACTGGGAGGTGCCAAAATGGCTCACAGGGGGTTAGGCATCATCTCTCTCTAGTCCTAGGATTAAGAGTGGGAAGTCAGACCTGGTCATTCTGCCTAAGCACCTTTCAGGGTCATCTGTGACTCAAGGCAGGTGGCCTACACTTTGCAAAGTAGCTAACTGTGGAAAATCAGCGCTCATGAAGTCATGCACAGTCTGGCTGACCTGCTTTCTGCACAGGAGCAGGGGGGCCTCAGCGTCCCTCCACTCAGCCTCTCATAGCAGTGGCGGATGATTCATAACCGGGACACTGGAGTCATCCAAATTCTGAGTGAGAGGAACCTGAGCTCTGACTCAGACTACCCTTCATTTTACCAGTGGGATCTTGAGGGCCAGAGATGCCTTGCAGGGAATCTGTGGCAAGCTGGGCTGGAACCCAGAGTCCTGACCCCCTGCATGGAGTCACATCTTCTGCTTGTCACCTGCGAGGTTGACAGAATAAAGCAAAGGCTATTGGCACCAAGAACTGACCCCAACTGAGAGGACGATGGGCCCTTTGATGATCCACCAGTAGGGGGAGCTGTCATCCAGGTCCCAGCACCTACAAAGTTAATAGGAGGCCACGAACTCAGTGTCTGGAAAGCCTTTTTCTAGGGGACTCAGCCATCTCCCGCATCCCTTTCTCTCTACCTAACAGGTCTCCAGGCTCCTCTCACCTCTGTCAGTCAAGCTTTCCACCAGCCTCACCCCCCACCTGCCATCCAGCTATGTCTCTCTCAGCCAGTTAGGCCTCCCTACTAAGGAGACACCCCAGCACAGGCGGAGCTCTGCTTTCTTTTGACCTAGAAAACTTCTCAAGAATGGATGTGGATGAACTTCTTGAAAATCCATCTGTTTATTGCCTCTTGTTGGTTTCACCAATTCCCTTGTTCCAGAGTGCCCCCACTGATAGACCCTTACCCCTGCCCTTTCCTGAACCCAAAATCCCACCCTTCCTGCCACCCCTGTTCATGCCTACTGTGTGCTAATCACAGACTGTCTTCCCTCTTTCACCCTGCCAGCAGCCTCCCCTTTCCTCCCCAGCTTGGAGAACAGCGTGTTGCCTGATGGTCATTCTAGGCCCCATGGGAACCTGGTACAGGTATGTGGCAGCGCCTGGACTCACGCAATATCTTCAAAGGCCAGCTTGCACCCCACCCATGTTCCAGTGAAGAACAGGGGAAGACCTGGGGGTGGGGTACAGAGAAGACAGGAGTGAGGAATGTGCATCCTCAGATCAGAGACCTGTCCCACCTCCTACTCCCATTGACAGTTCTACAGGGCACCATGAAGCCAGGGCCAGGGGGTGCCCCAAGGCCAAGGGCCTGGGTCCTAATCTCCGACACTTGCAGCAGGACTGTGAGGGTCCTTCCTTTTCACTGGACCTCAGGTTATCATCAGTGAGCTGAAGGGACCTTCCCGAGAACTCCATGAGCAATCTCATCCCTTTCCCCCACACAGTTTACAGACCAGCTTACCCCAGCCAGCAAGAACCAGCCACCAGAAGGCTCTCCTTGTGCTAGGTGACGTGGAGACCAACAGGCAGGTCAGGTAGACAGCTTCTGCCAACAGCCAGCTGAAGTTGGTCATGGTGGCAAAATGCGAGGTGGCCACAGAGACCTTGCACACAACCTGAGGATCGGGGTGCTCCAGATTTGAGACACCCAAGTCTCCTCTGCCCCACATAGACCTCAACCCTGCAAACTCCATCCACTTGGGGCTGCTTCCAAGGGGATATGCTGGTGTTAATTGTATTGACTAGAAGCCCAGAGTTGGGCTCAAATTCACCCTCTTTTTGCTGGGGAATCCCCACATCTTAGTGTTTCACCTGTAAGAGGGAAAACTTGCAACACCTGTGTTTCTCATGGCCTTGTAAAAAACTAAAGGGAAACTCTGCATAAGAATTACTACTCTTCTCACTTTACCCACATCCTTCTCAAACTCTAGTCAATCCCTAAAGCTGTGAATATGAGTGCTATTTATTCCCACGAGGTTCCACCCTGTGAACATACACACACACACCCCTTCACTCATTCATTCCTTTACTGCATCTGTCAGGAGTGAGAAGCACATCTGTCAGGGGTGAGGAGCACCACTCTGAACACAGAAGGCCCAAAGTGGCCCCAAGTCCACGCTAAACTGCCAGTGATATTGCTGTCATCACTCATCTACAAAATGGGACCGCAGTGAAAATATATGTAGGATAAAAGGAGATAGTATATGTGGTTAGGGTAATGCCTGACACATAAGCTCTCTTTCTCTCTCTCTCTCTTTCTACATATATATATATATAAGTGTACATGTATGTATAAAGGATATATTGTAGATATAACTATTATGGCTATAGGACCTCCCATGTCCTGGAAGTGCCCAGGGTTCTCCTGCCTGTGAGGCTGGTTCCCACTGGGCCCTCTCCCTCCCCATGGGTGCTGCTCACTCAGCTCCAAAGCCCTCTCCTCTTCAAGGACCTCTCCATCTCTCCCAGCTGGCAGCCCCCTAATCTGCCAGGTGCATGTGCCCCTTGGGCACCAGGGTGCTTCTCTGCCCAGCCTGTCAAGCACCCATGCCCAACCACAGACAGACCCATGCTCAAGGGAGACCTGAACTGAAACGCCTGGCAGACTGAAACGTCATCTAGCTTGCAATATGGGACATGGGGTAAAAAGGGAATGGAGACCATGGAGTGGGAGCAGCAATGGGAATGACATGGGTTGGCAGCGTGGTCCAGGAATGCATGAGGGTGTAGGACTTGACCTGGGGACACAGGGGACTCTCTCCTGTTCTGTGATTGGCAGTGTTGGAGCCCCAAGTTCAGCCCACAGGGCTGACCTGGCTTCCCAGGTGCAGCTCGGTGTGTATCCACCCGCCTCCCCCCACCACCCCCGTGCCCGCTGTCACCGTCATACAGTGGAGAAGCTGCAGTGGTCTGTGTTCTCGCCGTGGAACAAGGCGGCGTCCTTCAGGAACACAGCTGCCGCCTTGAGGATAAAGGTGCTGAACAGCTGGGTGTGGATGTAGTTTCGGGGGCAGTGGAGCCTCCTGGAATGGGCATGGACAGATGAGAAAGGAGGCAGAATGGGAGAAGGGCTTCTGATGTGTCCACAGCAGGGGCCTGGCATGGGGAGGCTGAGGAGGGCTGGAGACAATTGCTCTGGCTGGGTTGGATCAGGTTGGATTGGATTGGATGGAGCTGAACTTAAAGTTTCAGTTTGAACCTTACAGGAGAGCTGACCAACCACTGTCCGGGGCCCGGAGTTGGTGAGGGACAGGGGACCCCAGACCCTGCCTTCAGGAAGCTCCTAGTCTGGAGGACAGGTGCAGAAACAGCAGGGGGTGACCCACAGGAGACTTTGGGTGGAGAGAGAGGTAAGAACAGACCCACGGGACAGGAAACAGCACAGACCTGAGTGTGGGGTTCAGCCTCTGAGGTCTGGGGTTACTGGTCACAGGGTGGGGGTTGGGATCCATGGAACAGGTGAAGAGTATACTTCAAAGCAGGTGGGATCTGAGCTTTGCAGTTTGGCAGATGAAAATACATTGAAATGAGAGGAGACAGCACCCAAGTGAAGAGAATGATCTCCACCTGAGCACAGGCATAGAGCCGGAGCGAGATCTGGGCGGGCGGGTCCACATGCAGATGAGAGGGAGGGAGGAGCTGGGAACGGCAGTGGTGCCCAGAGCTGGAAACCCTGGAGACCCGGGTGAGGAGGGGGCTGGGGCTGCGGACATCAGGAGCTCCAGGAAGGTTCAGGAGCAGGGGACAGAGATGGCAAACCTCAGAGAAACCAGGATGATGATGGCCAGGAAGAGGGCCGCGACGGAGATGCTGTGGCCCAGCGTGTAGATGACCTTCACCGTGGAGAAGTAAGATCTCTGCAGAGGGTGGACACAGAGAAAGTCTCAGCCACTGACTGAGGACTTTGGAAGAAAGGAGGCTTCGTACTAAACATGACTCTTCACCCCCCTCAAAAAAAAAAACTCCACATCTGGAGGCAGGACTGTCTGTGGAGAACATGAAAAGCTCCCTCTTCTAACGGAAGCAGTTGATTATAGCCTGTCTTGTCTGACTCACTGCTGAGGGGGACCCTTAACACTCTGCCTCTTTGGGGATGGGAAGCCACTGCTTCAGAAACTACAAGTCCCTGGGCAATGACAAAAGCTCAGGAGGAAATTGGACTTGTTTACTGACATCCAGCTTGTCATCAGCTTGGAACATGTCGTCCCCAAGAATAAAGGACAGCCAGGGACAGCTGCATAGAAAAGCTCATTTTAGGCCCATGTATTCAGACCCATCAAAGCTTAGCATGGCCCAGGAAGAGGTGGAGATGAAGGGGGCAGGGGTGGGGCTGAGGAGCCGGTCCCTGAGAGAGCCCATCCCTGCTGTCGCTGACTCAGTGTTTTCACCTGAGGATAGTCAGGCTCGGGCTGTGCGTCACAGGGCTGAGCGGGGAGACATGAGTTGTGGATGTGGAAGCCCCTTGCACTTCAGTTCAGAGGTTCAGAGGCGTGGGGTGCGCTAGCTAGGTGAGGGAGGGGGGTCCTATGGTCACTCTGGCCTCGCATGTCCCTCACTTGTCCATACACAGCCTTGCACACGGCTCCACAGACCAAGCACCAGAAAAGGGACAGAGTCACCTAGGACAGCTAGGAGGCTGCTTCCCCAGAGCCACTCAAAACGTTCCTGCTCTGGAAGCCCTAGGCACAGAGGGCATGCCAAGGTCAGCGCATCTCTCCACCCTGCCTTCGGCCCACTTCCTCCAAGCAAAGTGGCCCATGAGCCTTGAACAAACCAGCAAAAGATCCCTCTATTCCAGACTCTTTTTAATTACCTTCTGGGAATCTGTCGCAATTCATCTTCCAACATGCCAGCTGGAAACACAACGGCAGCTCTTCCAGCCATGCAGTCCACTACTCCCACACACATCCACAACGACCCCCCACTCCGAGAGGCCACGAAACTCCTACCTCTTCTATCAGCAGCTCCAAGGGCACGGGGCAGGCGACAGGGTATGGTGGGAAGGGCTCAGACCAGCCCATGATGGTGCAATCCCGCTTTACGGCCCCTGGGGGAAAGCACAAGTGGCGAGGCTCTGGTGACTTCTGTCCCAGGAGGTATGGCGGAGCCTCGGCCATCTAAAGCGCCTGGCAGGGGCGGCACACACAGCTCCTCTCTGAGGCTGACCCGGGATGGCCTTCCCTTTGGAATCCAGGTCCAGGACTGGGACACATTCTGGGCCATCTCACTCTGGCTTCAGAGTCATCATGTATTAAACAGGAGAATCATTGCCTTGAGCAACAGAGAAGAGTGAGTTGGGGAAAAAAAAGAAAGTTCTTTCTCCTGGAGGGACTGTCCACTTCTGAGATCCAAGCCCGGAGGTGAGCCCTGACCCTGCCCCCACCAAGTGACGGGCAGCATCCGAGTGGTTACCCAATCCTGGCCCCCTCACCCTGCAGCTGGCCCTCATGCTCACGTTGGAGAACATTGGCCCAGCACATCTCTGCTCCACTACTAATCCTCACGCCCTGTGGGGTCAGTCTCTTGTTCTCTGGTCACCTGTCAGGAAGACATGTTCAGGGCCAGAGAGGTTGGCTGACTTGCCCAAGGTCACACCAAAAGAGGCTAAGTCGATGACAAATCCAGTCTCCCCGACCCCAAAGCCAGGACTGTGTCCAGCATGTTCTGCCACCACCAGAGGACACCACTTCCCCTCCCCCACCACACCCAGCACCCTTCACCTGGTTCTGGACTGAAGTGAGAGAAGAAACTTGGGCAAGGGAGGGTCAGCAACTCTCCAGAGCCTGCCATCGGCCAGCACAGCAGCCCGTCCCACATCCTGGGGCAGCCTGGACAGCAGATGAGAGCACAGTGGATACTTGTGGAGGGAGGAAAGTTCTCCCACATTCTGAATGGTGAGGTTCAAGGAGATGACAGAGTCGGACAGCCACCTCCTCCCCAACCCCGTACCCAGGGTGGTGTTGGGCTCCTCCTCCGTTGCCTGGAGACATGCACTCTCTTCCTCTCTCAACTGGCTGATGAAGTCACACTCGGGGTGCACATGGCCCAGTATCTGCAGGGAAGCGTGAATGGGATAAAGCAAGCCACGTAGGTGCTCCTGTGGGCTCTTGAAAACTGAATACGCTAACTCACATGGCAGAAGAGACTTTGCAGGTGGGGTTTGGTTAAGGGTCTATAAGAGAGAGAGAGATGTCAGTGAGAGGTAAGGAGATATGAGGATGCAAAATGGCAGAAACAGAAGAGTGTGTGGGAGACAGAGACAGAGACAGAGACAGAGAGCAGGAATTCCTAACACCTCTCCCTCCCACTGCCCCAGGCTAGGGAGAAGCTGAAACCAGCCACTCTACAGGCTAGAGCCCCAGCATGTGAGGGACCCCGACTTTACATGCAACCTGTACTGTGAGCTGGTGCACAGTCCACTCTGTCATGCAACATACACATCCAGCCAATCAGTGTACATCTCCATCCTCAAGGATTACTCAGAGGCGGAGCAGAGTGTGGAAAGGAGCCAAGGAAGGGTAGTGAGAGCTCCAGCACAAAAAGCCACCAGAGGTAGCACAGGCGCTGAGGAGAGTGATCTTTCTGAGGGCCTGAGGTGGTGGCATGTGAGCTGGATCTGAGAAAAAGCTTTTTTTTTTAAATTGGTGGAGAAAAGAGCTTCCAAGATAAAGAAAACAGCACTTTGTTGTGCAAAGATGAGGGAATACAGAGTGCAGCGTGCATGGGGAATCCTCACCTGCAAGTGGACACAGACCCTCACTCAGGCACGTGCACACACCCTCAGTGTCTAGGGTCATGTCAGCAGACTTGTAATTCTTAGTGTTCTTTGATGAGTGCGAATGACATGCCAGGGGCTAAACGAGATTGTCAGGAGACCTCAGACACCAGAGTGGGGACAGTGGACAGTACGTGACCATGCAGAAGGACTCTAGGACCCAGCCACAGGTCAGTGGACAAGGAGAGGAGCCAAAGACTCAGCCAAAAATGGGGTACCCCACCAGCCAGGCCTTGCAGGGCCCGACTCCCCCATCCTGACATGTGACCTTATTCCCCCGAACCCAGCTTGGGCTCAGCTTTTCCATCTCTTGCTTGGCTCAATGAGCCTCAAGCTGCAGATTCCACCTGCCACCCAGGTTCTGGGGCTCCCAGACTTACCTCTGACTTCCTCCCCAGGGATCAGTGAATCATCTTCCCTGAATCATTTCACAGCAGAGTCCCAAACCTGTCTCCCCCCACTGAAGACTGAGCACAGGAACAGGGGTGGGGAATTGGCTTATCTGCACAGCCAACCTAAGTGTAAGCTGGGGGTGCTGACAGTTATGAGCTTTACCTGTCCCTTCTCCACTGCCTGGCGCCCACCCCAGCTGGATGTACTTCCTCAGCACCTGTCAGAAGAACCACTGAGATGGAAGGAATTAGGGCCCCTGGGGGTAGACTCCCACCAAAAGGATAAATAGAAGCCTCCATGTTTTCTGAGAAAAGGAGGAAAATTCAGGTCCTCACCCCCTCCATCTCGAGCCCATATGGCCCTGTGGCCCCCCCACCTGTACCTCAGGGAGAGAGGTGAGAGGGTCAGAGCTGGCTACTCACCATGGGTAATGGGCTCAGCAAACAGAAAATGCAGGTACCCCACACCTTGCTGTCCATGGTAGGGGTTCATCAAGTGACTTCCCGAGTCAGCTTCTGTGACCCTCTTCCTTCCTGCTGTCCCCTTGTGTGTCCCCTGCCACCCCTCCCTCTGCCTCCTCTTCGCAGGTGACTGCATAGGCAGGAGCCAGAGAGGACAGAACCTGATGAATAGTCACCAGGACGGAGGGACACTGCCTCACAGACAGCCCTTGCCCTGGGAAGGGACTCCCTGTTCCCAGAGGGAGGGGCTGACCTCTCTCACCCCCTTCCACCTGTTCTGTTAGCCAGCCTGTATGTCTGTCCTGACAGAAAAGGACACCTTCTGTCCCAGTCACTCAATATATTTTCCAGTTTCTTTTCTGAACCCAGCTCTCTGCTGATAAACACTGAGAGCCACCCCAACCCCAGTGGAGGAGACTCAGAGAAGAGGACAGAGCCCTGCCCTCAGGGGACCACCAGTTTGGCTGATGTTGCCACAGGGCTGGGTGATGGGCTCAGTGCTGTGGATGAAGCCCCCAGGGGTTGGGGGTGGAGTGCTGATTTGAATGCAGGGTCAGAAGGAGCTTACCAAAGGCAGTGAACACTAGTACCTGCACAGGCAGCCAAAAGGTGGAGTAGCAGCCGAACCTTACTTCCTGACCCGGCCAGGGCTCCAGTCTGCACGGCGAGGCACCCTCTACAGATACCAGGGCTCTGGTCATGGTGGGCTGGCCAACTTCCCACAGAAACCCTAACGCCAGGGGCAAATGAGGCTTAATAGGTAGGAATATGCAAAGGGATTCATGGGGCTGGTCACCTGGATGGGGCAAGAGCTACTCTTACAGGGACAAGAGGAGACTTACATTATCCCAGAGACTCAAATTATTTTGTCTGCTCTTTACCTAATCATTTTTATTGTGGTTTTAGATTTTAAAATGTGGAATCCCAATTGGCCAAGCTAAAGACAGCATTCCTAATTACCCTGGATTTGCACAGCTTTATGAGATTTAACAATACATTGATACTTCCTGGGCCCTGAGGGTACCATACCTGGTGGGGCCTGACATTTGTGCACCGATCACAGTTCCAGAGGCTGCCGGGCTGCACACAGGTGACCTCAGACATGTTTACAGCTGATACAAATCATGAATGATGAAAGCCCTCCAATTCCCGCCACGTCTGTGTTTCCCAGTCATTTTACATCAGCAGGACTTTATTTTTCCGTTTGTATTCACTGCCAACAAAGTGTTGAAGAAAAATATTTTGAAAAGAAAATATAAACCACCCAGCTCCAGACCCCCTGCTCTTACTCAGGCACTGTGTGCTGGGGGGTCACACTCCCTAGGCTCCACACGTGTCCACTGGCCAGTGCAAGAGACTCACAGGTTGAAAGAGCAGAGCACTGAAAAAGTCTAAGTTAAAGGAAATGCTGAAACCTTTTGTCCCTCATTGACAAAGAGGCCACTGCCCAAAGATCAATAATATGTGGAGAATTAGTGTCTATACAATTAATACTAGTGATGATTAAAATCAATATTGATATTGACGCTTGATGGCTATATTGAAAGACCAAACTGATGCCATGACAGGCTTCAGAATGTTTCTGAACCAGCCAGGTCTAAATTTCAGTTATCAACAAGGTACCAAGGCTGAATTTAACTGTAAATGTCCTAATCTTGCTCATCCCATAGCAATAGCCAATTAGCAAGTAGGCAAGTAACCAGTACATACCAGAAAAACGCCAGATGCCCTAAGGTATGCGGGCCGAGTAGTGAAGGTCACATCTTACACGCACAGATCAACCAGGTTAAGACAAGATCACTTTGTTCAATGTCCACCAATCAATGTACTGCTGAGCAAAAACTCCCCTCTGCTGGGCTGAAACTCCCCTCTTCTGTGATAAAAGCCCTGCCTTCCCTGAGCTCAGAGCTCTCAACTGCTGCGTCACTGCATGTTGGAAGCCCAGCTCGAGCTTGCAATAAAGACCCTCGCGTGCTTTGCATCGGAATCGGCTCCTTGGTGGTCTTTGGGAAACTTGAAACCTGGCACAACTATATCTAAATGAGTGGTTCTTAACAGGGGCAATTTTGTTCCTCAGGACATATCTGCAATGTCTGGAGACACTTTTTGTGGTCACCATCAGGATTTAGGGGTGGGAAGTAGGGGTGGCTAGGGCTACTGCTCTGTAATGCGTGGAAACCAGGGGCACCATTAAACATGCACAGGAAGATCCCTCACAAGCGTGTAGAGAATAATCCAGTCCCAAAACTCAATAGGATCAAGCAGGAGAAACACTGACAGAGCCCTAATGATCCTCCAGCACACGGTACCTTCCGAATACACCCAGGACACCCAGAGCTCCCAACTTCAGCGCTTGCTGTATGGACTCAGGTTTCAAGTATTGCCTCCATTACCTGACTAGCTGTGTGACCTGGGGCAAGTGTTTTAACTAAACTTCTTAAGCCTTTTTTCTCCACCTGAAAAATGGAGGTAATATAGTACCTTGCTGCTGTACTCCCCTTGTAAATGAGGAAAGGCATGTAATGTGGACAATCATTCATGACAGCGTGTAACTAGGATGCACTATCAGCAAATAATGCTGGAGCAATCGATACTTGGTATGGAAGAAAATAAGATTAGGTTCTTAGTTCAAATGCACAAAATATAAATCCTAGAAGGTTTAAAACCCTAACTACAAAGTACAATAAAACGTTAAGGATTTTTTAAAGACTTAGAAGTGTATTTTGATGACCTTAGAGTAAAGGGACTTTCTTATATAACAAAATCTATATAGGAAAGATTCATGCTGACCACATCAACATTTAAAAAATGTATCTTCAAGAAAGAACACTGTAGATTAAAAACTAAAAACAAGCGATAGACTGAAATTTTCGCAACCAATAATGACAGATAAAATATCAAAAATGTTTTTAAAATACCTACAAATCAATAATAGACAAAAATAGCCCAATAGAAAAGTGGGCATAAGATATAAACGGGCAATTCAGAAAATAAAATACAAGACAATAAATAATAAAGAGATGCTCAACATCATCAACACACAAGAAAATGAAAATTGAAATAATAAAGAGCCAATTATTACATTGCCTAAGTTTTTAATCTCTGATAAAACAACATTTGGAAGAAAATGTGGGGAAATGTACTGTCACAGGCTGCAGGTGAGTGGAACATTGGTATACCTACTTTGAAAAACAATTTTACATGCTCTGTCGAAACTCTAAGTAAGCATATCCTAGAAAGCAGAAGTTCCCTTGCTGGCTATTTACCCCAGAGGGCAGTATTGTTTATAATATATGGCAAAACCCAGAAACATCACAAATGTCCAATGGTAAGGGAACAGATAAAATGTGATAACATTATACAACAGGGCATGGTAGAGTGCACAAAGAAGAACTGAGTCACTGCATCAAAACATGGAGCTGGAGACATCACAAAAATACATATTTGAGAAGCTTTTGCTTCCAGTCAAGATGGAGCAACAAGGACCAGTTTCCCTCCTACTTTAACAATAAGAATTCCAAATAAAACTTACGAGAGGGTTTTATTCACTGGAAGACAAACGAGGTGAGCCTTATGGGCCAGCTTCCTGCCTGCAAGCACTCCCACGTTGCTGCTCATGGAGTAGGGGCCCAAACACTGCCTGGTGGCATTGGTGAGTGTAGGAAACAGAGAAGGGGGCTGAGAAGGGCAAGGTGAAAAGTATTTGTGGGGCAGAGAGAAGACGCTGCCCAGTGACAGAGCTCCAGATTCTGAACACGCAGCCTCCCGGCAGCCCCTCCCTGTAGCCTGTGACCTGAGAACTACCTGAGAATGTGCGAGAAAAAAACAGCTAAGACTGCAGAAAGACCCACTGGGATATGGAATAGGCAGAACAACACTCAAAAACACAATAACGGGGCCCTCCCTGGTGGTGCAGCAGGTTAAAGCACAGCACTAAGAAGCTAAAGCCACTTCCTCATGAGTTTGATCCCCGCCTGCCCCGGAGGAGATCCACATGGCGAGGCAGACCTCCCCTGACCCGCCCGCTGCTCCCCTCAGCAGTGTACTTCGTTGATCTGCCTGTTCTGCTCCCCACTCTGTCCCTGGTGAATCCTCTCACCCTCTGCATCTCTGGCCTGTACCCCAGCTCTATATGAATAAATAAATAAATCTTAAAACACACACACACACACACACACACACACAAGGCTAAGAACAGTGGTGCTCTCACTACTCTAGTGGCCTTGAACACGCACTCGTGGGTAAGCAATAGTAACGCCTCAGTAGCAAAGACAAAACTAGTCCTAGAATAAGCTGCTCTGGACACAGCCTAGTAAGAGGGAAGAGTAAAGCTGGGAAGGATCTAAAGTGTGAATTCTCCAGGGAAAGAAATCCAACACTACTTAAGTAAACAGAGCAGAACTCAACGATGTAAAATACACCATATCTGATAGTCAGTACAAAATGATCAAACATGCAAGGAATAAAATATAACCCACTAACAGGAAAGGAAATCAAGCAATAGAAAGAGACCCACATGTAACAGAGGTGGTAGAACTAGCAAAGATATTAAGATAGTTATTTAAAAAGTACTCTGTACATGTAAGGAAGTAGAGAATGTAAATTATAAAAGTAAATACCCAACTTCAACTTATGAAAATAGAACATATAGTATCTGAAATGAATAAACTGCTCTGTTTATGACTAATGGCAGATTAGGTATTGCAGATGATGCAGCAGTGAACTGGAAGCTATCCCAATATAAACTATCCAGAATGAAATACAGAGAGGGGGGAAAGATTGAGAGAAAATCAGTGTGTGTGTGTGTGGGGGGGGGAATCATGAAGCTCGTCCAAAACAAAGAAAATCTGAAAATCCATCACAGTCAAGAAGAAGCTGATGAGACATGATGATTGAATATGTCCTGTGTCCTGAGTAGGACCTGAGAGCAGAAAAGAAACATTACATAAAAAATTAGGCTATTGGAACATAAGCTTCATTTTTTATTATTTGTTCATTCATTATGGCAACATATAATA